CTGCGCGCCTCCCGGTGCCTTCTCCCCGGCGAAGCAACGACCATGCCGTGTGAAGTCACGCCCGGGAGCAGGAAACCAACCTCCTAGCCGCCTTCTGCTCCTGCCATGCCCATGGAAGCAGCAGAACGCGTCAGGAAGCAGCAACCTTGCGCTGGAACGCGCTTCTGAAGCGAGCGACCCTGCGCGGCGGTAAGACGCGATCTTGCGCTGGAATTTCAGTAGCAGCATGCACCAAGATCGAAGCAATCCTGCACAGCAGGCAGCTCCGCGGTAAAACTGCGGAATTGCGCCTGAAAAAGAGGAGCTTGGCAGCAAAGCGTGCGCCGTACCTCTACAGCCGGAAAACCCTGCTCGTCGATGCTGATTTCAGGAACAGACGACGACGGATCGAAGAGGAGGGGAGAGCAAGACGAGATTGCGGAGTAGGAAGGGGAGGAGGAATGGGTTCACCGGTTCAGAGCGGACTGGCGCGTGGAAAAAAGAGGCGTCCGTCTTCCGTTTCTGTTTGGGAGTAGACGCAGTCCAACCCACTCTCCACGCGACGCTAATACATGGCTCCAGAGCAACCGGTGCAGATATCCATGGCGAGGCTTGCTCGCGAGACCGGGAAAAGAGAAAGGCGGAATTACTTGCGTGCCATTTTCGTAATGTTTTATGTGTTTTTTTTAAAAAAAGTTCAGCGATCTTTAGCGTTACTGTTTTAAATTTTTTTTTTCCTTCATGCCACTGCCGTCAGTTTGGGTTCTAACGCCATCAAAATGCAGATGTAAAAAGTCGAAAATACCCTTATATCTAAATATGTCATTAATTTTTTTAAGCATCTTAACGACTTCAAATGAAAAAACTTAAAACTAGAAAGTTGTATATCTCATCGAGATCTATAATTTTCATATAATTCCGCAAAAAAAGATATAATTTTTCTAAGATATATTAATCATATCAAATCATATTTTTTACGGAATTAAATGAAGATAATTTTTATATAAAAATTATAGATCTTGACGAGATCTACAACTTTCTAGTTTTGAGTTTTTTCATTTGAAGTCGTTAAGATGCTAAAAAAAATTAATGACATATTTAGATATAAGGGTATTTTTGACTTTTCACACATGCAGTTTGACGGCGTTAGAGCCTAAACTGACGGCAGTGGCATGGAGGGCGCAAAAAAAGTTGGAGTAGTGATGCTGAAGACCGCTGAACTTTTTCAGAGACACACAGGACATTACGATCTTTTTTAATGGCACACAAGGAATTCCCCCAAAGAGAAAAAATTTCTGTCGACTTCTCTCTCTTCCTCCTTGGCGTATGTATCTTTCCTGGTTTTTTTTTTATTTTAGGCCTTGTTTAGTTCATCTCCTAAAGTTTAATTCCTATCGCATCGGATATTTGATATATGCATGGAGTATTAAATATAAACTAAAAAATAATTAATTGCACAGATAGTGACTAATTTGCGAAACAAATTTTTAAGCCTAATTAATCCATGATTTGCTAATAACGGATTAATTAGGATTAATAAATTTGTCTCGCATAATACTAAGAACTTCTGTAATTTAATTTATTATTACTATCAAATACTCTCATGTGATATTCTAATGTAACAACCCTAAACTTTAGCTCTGGATTTAAACCAGGCCTTAGAACAAATATCTTTCCTGGCTTTGATTAGATTCTGACGTAGGCTCATGGGTTCTGATTGCGAGACCGGAGCAGCTGGTGACCGCGAGACTGTTTATTTCGGTGGTAAGCGATTATTTATCGTTGGCTGGTTTAGTGTGAGAGAAAAATAATATTTTAGTTTATAATCCACGATTGTATACGAGCAAGCGAATAGGCTTCACGTTGCTGAGACCCTCGTCCTGTTGATTTGAGCTTATTTGACTGATAAGCCATGACTGAAAGTCCTATTAGCTAATTTAGTGTGAAAAAAATATCATTTATTAACTAAAAAAATATAACTTATAAATCAAACATACTCAAACGAACCGGAGGCGTGTCAATTGCCATGTACACATGAGTCGTGCTCGTGCATCGGTGCATGTACATCCCCCTCGTGATCAACTACTGATCATGCTGTTGCTGTGCGGTGCGCGGCTGTGCCTGGGCCGCCTCCCAAATCAAAAGCACAGCCATCTCGTCCTTATAAGCAAGGACATCTAAAATACAAAATCTATTAATGTTTTGATAGTGTTATAAGCAAAGAGTTCAATATATATTGATATCTTCTTCAACAAAAGATCTAAAAATAAATCTTTTCTACAAATGAGTTTCTAGAGAAAGGATACTCATATTTGGGTTGTGCCTCTTAGATAACTCAAAATGGGTCTCCCGTATAAATACTTTATTGGTGGCTAATTTTAGATCTTCTGCTATCCATTTTGAATTTAAATGTCCATATACACTACCTAAAATGGTTTGATTGTTCACTTACACTATTTGGCTTGTTCTGGCTGCGAGAATTTTTCACGATTCGTACATTTCTCCTGGGAAATTAAACCTATCCCTACGAAATTTATGTGTTCAAACAAACCTAATAAGATGTGCAAGTAAGGTTCAAACGTGTATGATCTTGGTATACTAAAGCATTTTCGTAGGTATGGTGACTAACTTACAGCATGTTCGGCAGCTCGTATCTGGTTTATAAGCCTTGACTTATCAGTCAATGAATAATATTTTTCTTTCACATCAAATTAGCTAGCAATACTTTCAGTCATGGCTTATAAGCCAATCTAGCTGAAACGAACAGGCTGTTAGAGGTTTGTTGTTTCTTTCAGTTTTCTTTTTGCTCCGCCAATTAATTTGTTCAGTGTGCTTAATCCACTAGCAACTAAAGGATAAATCCATGCCTATACTTTTTATATTATATTATATTATATTTGCCTTCCATTTGGTGTTTGATGCTTCTACAGCTGTACTGGTACCCGTCATTATAATCGCTACCTAGTCCAGTATTTGTGCAAGTACTGTATTCCATACCCCTCGGGAGGAGTAAAGGCACGCGGTTAGAGTGTTAATTAGACCACACCAAACAGGCGGTGTGGTAGTGTGCAGTGCAGTGCAGTGCAGTGGCGCCTCCTTCAACCGCTGGTAATTGGTATTGGTATTGGTATGGTGCTAGTACCGCCGAAACATCGATTTGGATCGGCTGATTTGGCATTTGGCAGCTGTTAAATACTCCTACATTATATTTCTGCGTGCATCCGGACGGACGGCGTTCGTCATAGTCAAAGCGTTGAGCGTGCCGCCCGCTATTTGGCGACTGGCCACAGCGTTTTCTGCTACAATCTGGCGTTTGCAGGCGTCGTATTTGGTTCACCTTTTCTTCTCTCTTCTGCCGCTGGCCGCCGCCGTAGTTTACCTGAATCATTCCATCTAATTAACCTTGGGCCTGTTCGGCAAAACTGAAAAATACTATTCCGATTGATTGTTGTGAGAGAAAAATACTGTTCTAGCAGGACGTGAACAGTGATTTCATGAGGTGGCTGCCCAGCCAGCCAGCCGAACACTGCCCTTAGCTAGTTAGCTTGGAAGATAAAATTAACAATTGTACAGGCTATACGGTGCACCAGTACTTTAGGAAGCCTTGACACGAATGTTTTTAGGGCATCGCCCTCTATAAAAATAAGTGACAAAACAGCAATCTCAGACGTCTACTATAGTATCGCATCCTGGGGGGCCCCTAGGGCAGTGGCGGGGCGGCACAGGGAGAGGCGGTGGGTATAGAAGGAGAGAGGGAAAGGGTAAGAGCCGAGGCTCTATTTCCGATTTAGATTGAAGTTACATTGCCCCTATATTTATATTTCATATAGGGCTTGTTCTTCAAGCAACATATGCCCTGTTAGCTTGGCTGATAAGTCATGACTGAAAGTACTGTTGGCTGATTTGTTGTGAGAGAAAAATATTGTTCGTTGACTGAAAAAGTACGGCTTATAAGCTAAGTGATAGGACGCTAGTTTCCTTAACTCTTTGCACAGTTTCATAATATTCGTTGCCAACGATCCAAGGCTGTAACATAGTCGAGGTTGAACCTAAAGGATCTACTTGCGGGATAAATACCCTTGGAAGCTAATCATCTGGAAAGTACGGTAGTAGCGTCCAAATGTGCAAATGTTGTGGCAGGAGTAGAGAGGAAAAGTTCTTATAGATTTGGACTTCTTTCCTAGCAAACCGATAAAAAAAACTCAATCCTATTTCCTAAACAATTATCTATTTATTTACCTATTTTTCCATCTATTCCGGATTTTCACATACTTGAGGACACGTATTTCAGTATTTATATTCATAAAAATTTTCTTAGTTAAATGTTTTTTTGCATAATTAGTTAATGATTTTCATATTTTTCTATAAAACCCGTTAAATTAAAGCCTCAGCTATAGCCCGCTAGAGTTTTTAGAGGGCGTTGCTAAATGTCATAGCCCGCTATTTACAACATTGGTTATAACACAATTGTTTGTCTCACATAATAAACGATTCATGAAAAATAGATAAACATTACAAGTTGGGCAATAACTTGTTTAAACATTTTAGATAATGCTTGGATTCGGACAGGCTACAATATCTCTACAATAGCTGTCTGCTTTCCTCAGCAGTGGAAGGCTTCAGTTGAACCATCAAAAGACAGCATCAAGAGTTCAAGACAGTTGAAATCAGCAATTATGCAAGTTTCATCGAGTTTTTCTCCTTCGGGAGACTTATATCCACGCACTAATAGCCAACATTTATAACCCAACCATGTTATGATGTGAGACCGATTCCGTGCTCAGGTGCACCAACCGCACCTCAGTAGGCAGTAGCCGGGAAATGTTCGGTTCCAGTACTGCAACAATGGTCATGGCATATTAAAGAAAATATTTTTTTTAGTTGTTACAGTACTGATTAGACCTAGCAACTACACTGTAGAACAACATTAACATGCCATAAAATGTACAACTTGTCCCTAGTTTGTGCTTTGAGGTATTCACAATGACCTGACAAGAAAGAATCCCAAACTTGTCTAAAATCTAACAGGAGGTACCAGTTTGATCCATCTGCCTGCCAGACAACGCCAAACTGACAGCTTCTTTAACAAAGTTACGCAAGCATTCTCTGCAAAAATCAGTAATTGCTGACGAGTTCAGTTGTTTGACTTTGGGGCTGTGCTTGCAGACAGGTCTTGAGAGTGCAAGGGATTGCGATGGCGAATGCTCAAATCTGCAGGCAGCCAAGATGGAATGTGTTGCTGTCCGAGCAACTTCCTTGAATCTGTCAGAACCTGAATCCCAAACAGTGGTTAATGAAATTGAAAATGTGACAGAAAAAAAGATGTTATGTCAGTGAATGTAAGAATTGGAAAGGAATTTTGTACCATGTGTTTTGTCTATCTTGAGTAGTTTCAACTCGCGAATAGCCAAAGAAGAAATCTCACTTTTTGCAATTTTACAGGTTGACCTGGACCTTTTGGATCCTTGATCATGGCATCTTTCTGAACTGTGTTTTCTCTTGTGCTCATGACGGTCTGGACTAGAACTTTTCCTAACTTCAATGGTCGCAGCAATACCTTCATCACAAACAGCTGAACATTCCTCAGGGTTCACCGTCACAGTGGATTGGCTCCCAGATCCAACACTAGGTCCTAACTGTAGGGATGAAGTCACAGCTGACTGACCAGATGATGAACTGTACTTTAGTGGATGCGGCATGTCTGATTTGAGTTTTTCTGGTCTGCGTATACTACATGAAGAAACTAATGATTGATCAACATGCTGATTGTGGACTGACGAGGCAACTTTGTCATTAAGGCTTTCCTGATTTATTCGATTCTGAAAAGAAACCATCCTCTCATGAACCGAGGCACGACTGTTCTCAGGCAAGCTATGGCATCCTCTAGGGTTATTCGCGGGTGGCGTATGTTCCACTTTTGTACCGTGACCACAGATTGAATAACTTTGTTGACAAAACTTATTAGGCAGGCTCTGGTTCTTGTGTCCCACAATTGTATCAATCGGACTGTACGAAGTTGATCTGTTCCCCATGGAAAATGGGGAACTGCAGTTAAGGGAGGCAGCTGTGTTAGATATCTTCCTCCCACCAGAAGATTTTGCTTTCTCCAACCTTTTCCATGCCTTACGGGCATCATGAGTGTCCTTGTGCAAGACTTTTTTACTATGGCCCAGTGAGGTACTAGTTTCCTCAGAGAAGGGCGTTTGCAGCGGAACAGAAGCTGCAGCGGCGCGATTTCGAGAACCGGGAGTTACAGGCTCTGCATAACGCTGATGCTTGGTAGCAACAGAAGCAGAACCAGCCATATCCTTCCTTCTTCTGCCAGGCATATGCGGAGCAAACCCCACAGAACCATCACGCAGAGCAGCCCAGTTCTCCCGCAGCTCCCTTATGCGCTTATCAAGATTGCGAGAATTGCGCAATGTTCGAGCTCTCTAAACTTCAAGGCGAATGCGAGCATGATAGGCTGCAAGACCATTGTCTCGTCCCTGGGTCGATCTGGGACACTGAGATCCAGCTGAAGTACCCTGGGGTCGATTATCCTCAGGAGTCCTCCTCCTAGAGATCCCAGCACTGGCAGCAAAATCATCATCCACAATGTCATAAACGGAAGGAACCGGGTCACCCATCGAACCGCCACCGCTCGGCGCATCTGTCCTTTCCAGATCATGCTCCTCATCCACAACACCAGAAACCAAGGGGTCTGGAACTGGCTCAGCATCAGGAACATTGATGCCGATCTCAAATTCACCCTGATTCTCAGCCTGCCATCTCAACTGATCATCTCTGATCGTCCCGCAGTCCTTGCAGAACCAGTCCCCCTCCGGCACGGTGGTCCCCAGCCCGACACAGTAAGTGTGCGCAGCTGAGTCGCAGAGCTCGCAGAGTAGCAGGAGCTCGTCATCGCTGGAGCTGCTGCAAACGGTGCATATGGTGTTCACGTAAGGATCTCCGCCCACTGTGCTGCTCCCGTTGCCCTGAGGATTGTATACCTGCACAGCCAACACATTCCATCTCGTCAGTGTTGAGTTGTCCCGCGGAGAATTCATGGCATCCTGGGGGAGCAGAATAGCATGCAGTACGGACTAATCAATGCCAAATTTGATGGAATTCGCAGTCATGGATATGGGGATTTCTACTACACTGGCGCGGCTACGGAGATCCGATAGGTCCGGGGATTAGATTAGTTTTACCAACCAAGCTGCATACCTGGTTGCGCTCGGGGACGGAAACGATTCGTTCGTCGGGGAACCGGCCGGCGACGGGCGGGCGGCGGATGGTGCGGAAGCGGGCCTTGCAGAAGGGGCAACGGGACTCGACGCGGCCCCAGGCCATGATGCAGACGAAGCAAAAGAAGTGGGCGCAGCAGTCCAGCTCGCCGCGGATGGCCCGCCGGCCGTCGACATAGCAGATGCCGCACATCTTCTCCGCGCCCTCCGCCTCCGCCTCGTCGTCCATCTTGGTCTTGCCTTCGGATGACTCGGACGGCGGAAGTGCCGAGGAGTCGACGTCGGCGAGCGCAGCCATGCTTGGGATGTGGCGCTGGGTCAGGCGCGTCGGTCGGAGCGGAACAGACGGCATTGGAGTATAAAGCGCTGTTCGGTTGTCCTTACATCCGTACTTTTTAGCTTTTTTTTCAGTCGAAATCAACGAATCAGCTTTTCAGTTTGTTTTTTGAGCGAGGGAAACGGAGTATACGGGCTTCCTCGGTGAAAGTATTTGGGCTCAACCGTCGGCGACACGGAGTTGTGTTGGGCTCGGATTTTGGACAGTGGTTTGTCGGTCTTCTTGAGGTTTGTTGTTGAGACGCAGATTTGTTTGAGTTTGACCAAGCTCATGTCACTTTTTTAAAAGAAAAAAAAGAGTAGAGTGAAAACACCTGAATTGAAGTTTTGCAAATCCATCTTAGCCTATCTTGCTAATTTTATGAGTTTGTCCCCTGCCTGATCTTGAACATCGAATAATCTGGACGGACCCTGCACTCGCCCACACCGCCTCGCTCGCTGGCTCTACTCGTGGGACGGACCCCGTCCTCGCCCGCGTCGTCCCCGTTCGTGCCCCGCCGCCCCCGTGCAGCGCACGGTGAGCCCGACGCGCTAGGCGCTCGCTAGCCCACTCCCGGACTGGCGCCTCCCCTGGTGGCCTGCTCCATCCACCTGCCCCTGCCCCTGCCCCTGCCCCTGCCAAGGTCCGTGCCACCGCTGAGCAGGTCCGTGCCACCGCTGAGCTCCACACCGGTGACCTCCACGCCAATCCGTGGTTTCGAGCTTTGTGCCGGTGTCGAGCTCCGCGTCGACGAGCCTCCATTTGTACAAATAGTAAGCAGATGTTACGCTGAAAGCGCATGTTGCAATAGTATGTTTCTAAGTGTTTCAGATGTTTCCGAGGTATGTTGCAAGTGTTGTATATCAATGTTGCAAAAGTAGATCGGGATGTTGCACATGTTGTAATGGCTATACACGTATGTTTCAAATGTTTCATCTGTTTCAGACGAATGTTGCAGGTGTTTTATCTGGATGTTGCAAAAGTAGATCTAGATGTTGCATATACATGCATGTTGCAAGCATATGTTTCAAGTGTTTTGAGGTGTTTCATACGTATGTTTGCAAGTGTTTCATCTGGATGTTGCATGTGTTTGCAATAGTTTTTAAATGTTTTTCAGTCACTTTTCGCAAGTGTTTCAGACGCTTGTTTCGAGTGTTTCATTTGTCTTCTTTTTTATGTTGCAACTGTTGCATTTTGATATTTCAAAAGTAGATCGGGTGTCGTATATGGGATGCACGTGGAAAGAGGCCGACGATGCGGACGACGTCCGGGGCGGCGTGGGCGACGTTCGGGGCGGCGCGGACTACTAGTGCGCTCCCTCACGAGCCCGATGTGCTAGGCGCTCGTTTGCTCCGTATGCAGGCAACGTCCGTACGCTAGCGCCCGGATCAGATGTCTAGGCGCTAGCAGGGCTGAATAATTTCTGGTGCTTCCGATATGCCCTTGCGTTGCATATCACTATAGTCATAAAGTGATAATAAATCAAAGTTGGATATCACTACAGTCAGTACAGTAACATCACTATTTTGACATCTTAGTTGTTCAGCCATATTTTGACTTAATAAATCTTAGTGTTATTGAATTTATGTATGTGCATTACAACAGGAACAAAAAACAATATGGTGATAATTCAAGTTTGCAATATTTTATTTTGAGCACGATGTTTGCAGTATTTTGTTTGTAGTCAATCGTCACTGTTACACGAGTGTTCATGGAACACAAACAATTAGCACATAATTCAAGTTTTTATGTGAAATCAAAGCAACCAGTTTATGTCACAATAACCATGCTCACTTCAACTCTCTATTCTTCCATGTCTTATGTGTGATACACTTAAGATAGTCTTTGTAAGGAAAATGGCCCCTAGATCCATTTACTTTGGATTTTAGTGTTTGATGACCAACACAATCAAATTGGACTAATGAATTTACAAGTAATTGTTTTGTAGTTCAATAGGTTGCAAGACGTGACTTGGACGAATGCGACATGATGATCCGATGATCAACACCTTAAGCAAGACCCTAGAAACACAAGAGAAGACCCAAGATATCAAGCATAGTCCAAGCACGAAGATGGAAACCAAGCCGGACGCAAGATCGCGAAGAATCGAGCTCGGCAGAGGTGACCGGACGCGGCCCTTATAGGGACCGGACGTGTCCGATCAGTTGCTCGGCAATAGCAGGCGTCAGTAGCTGTGACCGGACGCTGAGCAAAGCAGTGACTGGACGCACCGATGACACAGTTCTTTGTCACGGCAATGTTTTTAGCGTGACCGGACGCAGCGGCACTGGACGACTGGACACACAAAGTACAGCGTCTGATCGAGTCCAGAGAGGTTCCAGAGCGACGCCAACGTGACCAGACGCGTCCGATTGAGTGAGACCGGACTCGGCCCAGAGTCCGATCAACACGTGCGTTCTAACGGTCAGGACGACCGGACGCGTCCGGTCAGGACGACAGCCGCGTTCGGTCAGTAACAGAAAGCTGGGTTTCGCCCCCAACGGCTACTTTCTCGGTGGGGCTTATAAATAGACCCCCCAATCGGCCATTTGAGAGGTGGAGAAGTGAGGAAACATATCAAGGGTGTTGGTACACCATTTTAGTGATCTCCACTTATATAGTGCTTAGTGATTCATAAGGTGATTAGCGTAGGTGCTTTACGAAGTGCTTAGGTTGATTAGACCACCGCTTATACGCTTGATCTAGGTTTAGGCCTAGTGTTTAGTGAGGTTTGCACACCTCTTATCACTCTGTGCTTTCACGCACCATTGTTGTACATCGGAGGGGCTTATAGTCTTGCGAGATCACAACAACCGCGCTTGTGGTGTGGCCGCCACCATGTACCGAAGGAAACAAAGCCCGCAGCGGTTTGGCTAGAAGCTTGATAGTGAAGATGGCAGGGAGCATCCAGGAGAGGCTTGCCGAAAGGCACGTCGGAGACCCACTTACATGTGGGGAAGGCCCGAGGCTATCCACGGAGTTACCCGACCGGGAGCTTGGCCCTTGCGAGGGGCTCCAACGAGGACTAGGGGGAAGCTTACGCGCTTCTCGATACCTCGGTAAAAATAGTGGAGTCATCGACGGGAGTTTGCATATCTCTACCTTACTTTTTAGCTTCCGCATTTACATTTGCAATCTTGGTGTGTGCTTTACTTTCCTAGCTTAGTGATAGGCTAGTTGATAGGTTTGGAACCTAGATTGTATAACTCCTTTTGCGATAGAGATAGCAACATACTAGTACAACCGTAGTTGCACATTTAGATAGTTTATCTTTTGCATATGTTTTGCTAAGGGTAGAAAAAGAGGGCATAGTTTAGAGTTAGAGTTTTAAGTTGCCTAATTCACCCACCTCTTAGGCGTCATGGCCCCTTACAAGTGGTATCAAAGCCGGTTGGCTTAATTTGGACCTTTGGCTTTATCGTCGTTGAACCGACGCTATTTAGAGTGATTGGGATGTATACCTCTAGGCCTCCGCACTTTGACGGCACTAACTTCCCTTACTATAGAGCTAGAATGGCTTGTCACCTTGAGGTGGTAGATTTGGGTGTTTGGAGAGTCACTTATGACGGGATGAAACTCATTAAGAATCCCGATAAACCCACAAAGAGTGAAGAAAAAGAAATTCATTTCAATGCTAGAGCTAAAAATTGATTGTTTGAATCTTTTAGCATGGATGTGTTTAACCAAGTGTTCACTTTAAATATGGCACATGAAATTTGGTTAAAACTCTAAGAGCTCTATGACGGCACAACTAATGTCCGTGAGCAAAAATATTGTCTAGCTAAATAAAATTATGATTCCTTTAAAAGAAATGATGATGAACTTGTTCGTGATATGTATTCTCGTTTGAATCTAATTATCAATGAGCTGCATTCAATAGGATTAATGAGGTTAGATGATGCGGACATCGTGAGGAAGATCATCTCCGTGCTACCACAAAATAAATATGCAAGCATCATCACCATCCTTCACAACATGAAGGACTTAAGCACCATGACTCCAGCCATAGTCATTGGCAAGATAGTGGCATTTGAAATATCATGGAAGATGGGTCAAGAAGAAGCCTCATCATCAAGCAAAGGCAAAGCTCTCACATGTAGTGAGAAAAAGAAGATGAAGGGTAAGCAAGTTGAGACAAGCTCAAGCTCCAGCTCCTCAAGTGAAGATGAAGAAGAAGATGAGGATGATGATGATGATGATGATGATGATGATGATGATGAAGAATCAAGTGATGATGATCAATCTTCCTCCTCCACCTCCGACCTTGATGAAGAATCTATTAAGCTTATCAACAAGGTGGAGAAGATGATCCAAAAACTCAATGTCAAGGGTGTGCCCATCCAAATTCAAGATTTTATCTTCACCAATCAAAGAAATACGCAAAGAAAGAAAGGATGCTATGGATATGGTGAGTTGGGGCACTTTATGGAAGTTTATCCAAACAAGACCACACCCAAGACAAAGAAGAAGGCGTGCAAGGATAAAGCCCTCATATCAATAAGGATTAAGTGATGTCCTTGGGTCATTAGTTGGTAATGATCCTTGGCAATTGTTGTGAGTGTTGCAAAAATGGTTTAGTTGGTTTAACTTGTAACTGTACCACGAAGGAAAGTTGTATTCAAGTTGTTAAGTTTTGCATCCATCATCGAGCATCATATTTTGTATCCGCATCATGTTAAGCATGGCATTGTTACTACGTGTAGTGAACGAAGATGAGCACGTGGTAGTTAATCAAGTAGTTGAGGAGGTTGATCCGTCTGTGGAGGTTGGTGTTGATATCGGTGGAGCGACTCCGGAGCCGGACTTTTCCGTCAACGAAGGCAAGCCCCGGATGCATACAACCCTACCTTGTATTTTACAAATTGATTTCATTTTTGCTTCTTTTTACTGCAGTAAGTGATTAGGAGTCAAGTGAAAACCAAATTGGTACCTTACCAACCTTGTTATTCCATATTTACCATATTACCAATTTTAAATTCGTA